GATATTGTGACCTACTCATCTACTGTACTACAGCAGTGTAGAGTGAAGAAGATTGATCGTATTACACCTGGTGGCAAAGCAGTTTTGTTTTCACTATCAATGGAGGCACCAGATTCATCTGTTTTGTGTGTTCCCGTCTCTTCTCTGAGGTGTAGTGTAGTACCAGTTGGTAAAGGTGATGAACCCATTGACACTACAGTCACTACCACCAGCACTGATCCTGGAGTGTATAGGATAGAGTGTAACCCTTCAACCAGTGGTACTCATACAGTAAAAGTACAAGTATATGATGTACACCTTGAGGATACCTCACTAGTCATCCCTATCAATCCTTACCTTGATAACATCACTCCAGTACGTACTATAACTGGGCTTAAGTGGCCCTGTGGAGTTGCTGTAAGTGATGATAATCATGTTATAATAACTGAATGTGTTGGTAACTGTGTAACAATACTGGATAGAGAAGGAAAGAAAGTGAAATCATTAGGAGGGGAAGGAGGAAGTGGTAATTTCAAGTTTTATTATTCTCGTGGTGTAGCCATTACTCCAGACAAATTCCTTCTTGTATCTGATGATAATCACAGGATCCAGAAGATAAGCATGGATGGATACCTTATAGCATCAGTTGGTGAGAAGGGCAGTGGACCACTACAATTCAAGTATCCTGATGGTATAGCCATTTCTCCTATAACAGGACAGGTTTATATTGCTGATGAGGGTAATCATCGTATACAAGTCTTGAATCCTGATCTAACCTTCTCTCATTCATTTGGTAGTGAAGGATCAGCTAATGGACAGTTTAAGTCTCCACGTGACATTGCTATTGACAGTCAAGGATTAGTGTATGTTGCTGATAAGAATAATGATCGGATTCAGAAGTTCTCTCCAGATGGAAAGTTTGTGGGTCAGTTTAGTACTAAAGGATCTGGTCTTGGACAGCTTAATGGTCCAAATTGTATAACAATAGACACTGCAGCTACTGGTCTAGTGTATGTTAGTGAAGAGGGCAATAATCGTATATCAGTCTTCACTAGTGATGGTGTGTTTGTTAGGAAGTTTGGAAGTAAAGGCAGTAATATTGATCAGTTTAATAATCCTTATGGATTAGCATTTGATAAAGATGGATTATTGTATGTTTGTGATTATTATAATGACCGTCTTGTTGTTTATTAGTTATTAATTATTTCTTTTATATTGTTAATGATCATTATTAGTTAATTATATACTGATACAGTCACTGGTATGTGTACTGAGAATACACTCAACATAACTTCAATAGCACCGCAATATCCTAATAACTAGGAGAAGAAATTATTTCTCCTTTTGAAACTATATGATTAGAATACTTGTGCTCATTTTGTGTGTGTGTGTACTAATATTAGTGAATTTAGTGAGGGGATCTTTAGTATTAAAGTACTAATTTGAAGTGGCATAATAAATTAATAATGTCATTTCATAAATAAAAAACGAATGCAGTATAGTTCTAAACTTTCATTACTAGATACAATGCTTCAAACTACTATAATCCACATTCCACATAATTAGATATACTAAATACTAAACCTTCACCTTTCCCCCTACTATACAGATCCCCATGAGTGCTACAGTTCAATGATCATTAGGAGCCCTAGCCCTGAGACACGTACCACTGGATACACTAGACCTTCATCTCAGATCAGCTACTTATCAGAGGATCTACAGACCATACCATCAGTTGAAGTAAGAGCAGCAATATAAGTACCTGCAGCCCCTCTGGAGGAGGTGTGTGTGTATAAGTAATGTAATACCTGAGGACTGAGATATCTGCTTGAGGTGAAGCTGAGGGCAGATATCAAGGGACTCAGGTATTACATTACTGATACTCACCTCCAGACACACACACACACACACACTGGTCACAACTGTATCTCATTAATTATGCGTGCATGCGTGTGTTCATGCATGCAGGAGCTATCACTGGTTGATGATGATACTGTCATACAAGAAGAAGAAGATGAACAAGTTGCTGTATCTAGTGAAGTACCAATGAAAGTTGATATCAGTAGAGGAGAGAGGGAGAGGAGGAGAGAGGGAGGGAGAGAGAGTCCTATTGCAATGATGACACAAAGACCAAAGACACCAGAAGAAACAGGTTTGACCAGTTTTTAATGATTGACTATAAGTACATGTAGTTTATATCAAATACTTGCAATCATGTGTCATTGAACATTTTGATGAATAAAGCAAAAGTTTAGTAATTGCAGCATAGAGTCACCATAATCAAACTGTCCAATGTTATACAGTAACACCACTATTATTTGGTAACAGTGATTGTTACTATTTTACACTATACCAGTACTGAAGGATACTGCTAATTGACACATTTACATACAAAACATGATACCTGTATATAGACCATGAACACTCACTTGCATC